GTTACACCCGTGTAGGTGGGGGTAGCAGAGAATTTGGGTTTGATGGCATTTTACGGCCACCGTGCACAGCAGTGAATGGAGATGGGGGTCCCACACAGGCGCGGTCAGGCCCAGCCCCTCCTTTGCCCTGGTCTTGGCTAGCCAGGGATCAAAGCTGTGTAGACAAGACAGCGTGGGCTTTAACGTGAGCTAGGCTGGTGGCGTTAAAGTTTAGGCCCGAGTTTGAACGTGAGCAGTTTCACACGTGTTAAAGGCCGAGTGCATGGGCTGCATTAGACTTTTCACACGTTAGACCATGCTCCAGAGCAGGGTAGGAGGGGCTGGGGATGGAGGAGGGGGTGATCCCACTCCCAGTGGGGCAGGGAGCTAGGCTGGTGCCCAGCAGTGGGCCAGGGGTGACTGGCTCAGTTTTGGAGTGCAGCTTGCTTTGACTTAAAGCGCCGGCCTCAGGGCTGACAAGTGAATCAATGTCCTGCCGGCAGGTCGTGGGCGGGGTGTGTGACTACCCGGAAGGAAGGAGGAGATGGCAGGAGAAACAGCTGGAGAAGCACATGTGGCCCAGCATGAGACTTGTCAATGGGGCGCCCACAGGCTGCAGGGAGGGGGCAGGTGAGCCACGAAAAACAGGAGAGGGCAACTGAGACAGGGCCAGCAAGTGGTCAGGTAAGAGCCCCAGGGGACTAGAGACATGACAATTGTCCTGTGCTAGCCCCGGAGAATGGCCCAAGAACAGACCTCTGGGGGTGACATGTGGGGACAGCTCTCCTTGGACGGGATGGGGGCTTTTCTCCATGGAGCGGGCGCACAGGTCTCCGGGCTGGGCTCTGCCCGCAGGGAAGTCTGGCCCATGCTGTCTTTCCCTTTGATTGCTCTCAGGGCTGCTGCTCCTCACAGCGTTCCTCCTCCACATCAAGCTGTCCAGGATGAGCCCGGCCCGGCTGGTCTGCGACAACCGGCTGATCCAGAAATACATCAGCGAAGCCAAGGACATGGAGAAGAGAGTGGTAAGGAGAGACGCTCCAGCCCGGCTAACCAGGAGCTCCCCCACAGCCAGTGCTCCTGCCCTAACCCCTGCAGCGCCCCCTGCTGGGAGAGGCTGGGACTGGAGTAGCTGGGAACTTCCCCCACAGCCAGCGCTCATACCCTGTGCCCTACAGCGCCCCCTGCTGGGAGAGGCTGGGACTGGAGTAGCTGGGAGCTCCCCCACAGCCAGCGCTCATACCCTGTGCCCTACAGCGCCCCCTGCTGGGAGAGGCTGGGCGCTCCCCCACAGCCAGTGCTCCTACCCTTGCCCTACAGCGCCCCCTGCTGGGAGAGGCTGGGCCTGGAGTAGCTGGGAGCTCCCCCACAGCCAGTGCTCATACCCTGTGCCCTACAGCGCCCCCTGCTGGGAGAGGCTGGGCGCTCCCCCACAGCCAGTGCTCCTACCTTTGCCCTACAGCGCCCCCTGCTGGAAGAGGCTGGGACTGGAATAGCTGGCAGCTCCCCACAGCCAGTGCCTGCCCTGCCCCCTGCTGGGAGAGGCTGGGATCACACAAGCTTCAGAGGAAGGAAGGCAGGGAAATATCTTGCCTGGCCATCTAGGCGGCACAGCCCCAGCGCTGCCTCCGCTCCTCCTAACGGAGCCGGTGCTAATTCCTTCTCTTGCCCCCAGAGCCGGCCTCACGGGCTGGGCTCTCCTAGGCCTGTCCGCGTCGGTCTCAGTGCTTTCCACTTCCTCTCCCCATAGAGCCAGTGCCAGGAGCTCCCCTCACTAACCCAGCCCCTTCCTCTGCCCATGGTGGACTTCAGCCTCCGGGAATGGAAAACGAAGACAGTGAGTGAGGCCAGGGGCACCTGGGGACAGGCGCGGGGTGGGGAGCATCTCTAGCAGCTGCAGCCCGGGAGTTCCAGCTCTTCCCTGGCCACGAAGGGGAAGATGATCACTCAGCCCACCTTCGAGGGGGCAGCAGACACAGACAGGAGTCCCGGAGGGGAGGGGGATATTTGTCCCTTTACTGGCTGCTGCCCATGGGCTCAGCAGAGGGCAGTCCTGCTCCCTCGGGATCCCCCTTGCAGGCTCCCTCGCCCCCTGCTGGTGGGGTGATGCCAGCGTCCACGTTCCCGTCATGCTGCCGGGTTAGGAGACACGGGAAGGGCTGAGGGCTCTCACCCCTTAGTCCCTGCCTGCGGCTCGGGGGCCCCAGCCCCTGCAGCACTGGGCTCAGGCACTCACCGCCCCCCCTTCTCTGTCCCCGTCAGAATGAGACGAAAAGGCAGGAAATCCTCTGTGACCTGGCGCTGCTGGTGGACGCGGTGAGCGCTGCGCAGGGCCACGTGAGGCAGGAGTGTGCGGCTGCCCTCCTGGGGCAGCTCTACAAGAAAGCCAACTCCTTCCTCCTGCTCCTGCAGACCTTCAGCTGGCAGGTGAGGCCCCTTCTGCCCAGCCCAGCCTTGCCCCCGGCCCTCTGTCCCCAGCAGGGTGAAGAGCTCACCTTGCTCCTCTCTAAGCCTGGAGTCCCAGCTGCAGCTTTGGCCCCGGGGGGCGATGGGGACGCCGCCGGGGATTGCTCAGGGCGGGGGAAGCACTCTGGTTGAGGGCCCGTTCTCTGTCTTGGGACAGGTCAGCGCCTGGCAGCCGGACCGCGCCTCCCGGACAACGCTGCAGAGCCACCCCAGTGTGATATTTCTGGTCTACCGGCAGCTCGTGCAAGGCAAGCTGCGCTTCCTGTTCCATGACCTGGCAAAGGATTTCTGCCGGGAAGGAAGCCGGGGGGTGCCAGAGCCCCCAAGCACCCCATGTCCCCGGCTGCCTCAAGGGGACAGTGAAAGTCCTGCCTGCTGATGGGGGTGTCCACCAGACCACAGGTGGAGACAGGGTGGGAAGGAAGCAAATCCTGGCCCCCCACTCTCCAGAGATGGGAGAGGAAGAGCAGGGCAGAGAGGGCCTTGCTGGAGCAGAGGAGAGATCACGCCCAAGGACATTAACAGCTGGCAGAGGACAAGAAAGGGGGCTCCTTCAGCCCTAGAGAGGCCCCCCACTACTGGGTCGGTGAATGTCGACCCACAGCGAAGACTTGAGAGCTGAGCAAAAAGGGGCCTGGCCCTGAGACTGGGAGGGGCCAAAGGATGCGGTTTTCAGCTCTGCACATCCCAGGAAAGGGAGAGGACCCTGCCCTCCGAGGAGGAGCTCCTGTGGGCGCACGGCGAGGCAGGACTCATTGGCATGGGGCCTCTGAATCCAGCCAACACACATGCAACACGCGCGGACTCGTCTCTGCCCCAGGGCACATGTGAGAAAACTCACTGCTCATCCATCAGCCCCGTCTCCAGCCGACCACTGCGTAATCCAGGGGTGGGGGACTTGCTGTGCCAGGGGACCAGCTGGCAGAACGCAGCTGTGGACTTACGCACTTGCGGGTACACGCCCCTGCGGCCCATGCCCCCAGGTCTCCGTGCGTCACCCCAGCCCAGCCTCCCTGCACAGAGGGTAATGCAGCACTCGCTGTTTATCACGACTGTGGCGGTGGAAAGGAGACAGATTCGGGCTGCTTGCTAGAGTTAAGGATCAGGGAGGGGGCGGGCGTCTTTTACCGGGAAAACGTCTTACGATTAAAGAGCTTATTTTTCTAAAGAGCCCTGTGATCTTGCTTAGCAGGGGGCAAAGCTCACCGATCGGGGTTAGCGCGGGGACAGGGGCCTGCTCGCTGGGGGCCCATGCACAGGGGGGCGCCAGCCTTATTCTGGGGACTTCAGTGAGAAACACACTCTCTTCCACCCACCTCCCCGTCCCGCTCGGGGGAGGGAGGAGTGTGCGTGTGGGGCATTGGGGGCAGGGCCCTGCTCAGGCAGTGCTGCACCCTCCCCTGAGAATGAGGTATCCAGCGCCCTCCTGTGGCCGCTGCAGGAACAGCAGGCAGACAGGTGCCTTTCCCAGAAACCGAGCTGGCTCTCACCCCTTCTCCTAGCCTGGCCCGCTTCCAAGGCTAGCGCATCTCGCAGGCATCTCCCCTCTCACCCCTACCCTGCAGCAATTTCTAGGCTGAATTAAATGGAAGGAGACAGCATTAAGGAGACTAAGGCCACGTCTATGCTACAGGTGACAGCTCTCCTTGGCCACTGGCGTTTCAGGGCCATTCACACCTCAAACGCCAGGCAGCAGAGAGGGATCTAAGGGCCAGGATTCAGCCCCCAAATGAAATCAGCGAGACTGAGTATGCTCAACAGAGCTGTGTCTGGTTACACCGGCTCTGCATCTGGCTTCTAGGCCTTCCCTCCACCAGAAAGGGCACGAGCTCGTGGGCCGGCAGAGCTTGTCCCAGTCCCTCAAACAAAAAACTCTATTGGCAAAAGCCCTTTTTTGCCGGCGCCGAGGCCCTTTACTGCCATAGCTACATTGGCCAAACTCTACCGGTGGCTGGTCGCTAAGGGCCACCCCATGTGTTAGAAGACTTGGATCACAAATTCTCCAGCAGGGGGAGCCCTCTCCCCTTTTTATTGAGGCTGGACAAGCAGCGGGCCCGAAAACTTTGTACAGTCGTAACCCAGGGTGACGGTCTGGATCTAGTCAGAAATGACCAGCGTGGGTACTGGAGGACAAGAGTAGAGTCAACTTGGAGACAAAATGAAGTGGCTAGCCCTTAGAGTCCCAAAGGAAACCTTCCAGTGTAACTAGTGCAGTGATGCCTGAAACAGTCATGTCTGCGCACCAAGAAGTCAGAGTGCGGACAGGGGTGAACTCCCCGTCTTAAACACCAGCGGTTTTAGCTGTGTCACTGTATATTACGGTCTCACACTTGCTAGCGTGATCTAAGCAGAGACAAATCCGAAGCACCCACTTTAGTAAAGAACCAGGTAGGGCTGGCTCAGGAACGCCTCCCTGTCCTGCGCCCAGCCAACATAGAGGCCACAAAATACAAGGCCTGCTGGAAATGGTGCAGGCTTTTGCCATGCATCCCTCCAGAGGGTCCAGATGGGCCAAAGGAGCTGAAATCCAGCGGCCGTTGCCTACAAGGGTCCCAGTCCCGGCCAGCAAGGCCGTGTCTATTTGCAAAGCCTGCGTGTGAGGCGGGGTCCCAGGTGCAGCCGCAGTCCCCAGCGGCTCGGCCCCCTGCGGTTAGAAGGCCAGTTTCTTCATCAGGAGGTAAACCCTGGAATCCACTTCGAAGCCGTGCAGGTTGTTGGCGTCTCCCTGGAGTCTCATGAGCAGCCCCCCGTAGGACACGTAGGCAGAACTAGGGCGGGAGAGGGGCAGAGGTGAGAACAGGATCCCACGGATCAGGGAGGGGGCATCATACCCAGGCTCCAGAAGCCTTAGCAGCCAAGAGGCAGCCATAGTTGCTCACCTCCCCAGTGTCAGAGGGGCCCCTCGGGGCTAAAGGGAGCCCCTGGCTACTCACCTCTGGGAATTAGGAGCCTGCTAGGTGAGAGGAGTGCGATGGGCAGAGCTCAGTGTCCCGGTGTTCCCCTTAGGGATCCACTAGCGACTCTGTGTAGGACCATGCTGCCCCCTCCCTTGACTACCCCAGGCTCCGGGCACCGCGCTCTGGAGGGGCACAGAACTGCACCACCTCTCGTGGACAACAGGGGAGTGGCACGGGGGGTAGGGGCAAGCAGGACACTTACAGGCGTGTGGCTGCCTCCGTGGATGTTTCATCTCCCTCAATCCTGTACACCTTCCCGTACATCACATACTCGAACTGGTCGGCCCTGCGTGCAACAAGAGAGCGGGGGTGGAGAGAGGCGCACACCCACGGACCTGACCCTCCTGCCCAAAGCAAACATCCATCAGGGTAAAGCACCAGATGGTTCCTGGAAAGCCACCTGGCGCCCTCTGCACTCCTGCTGAATGTAGCCAGCCACATAAGCAGAGTCTGGCCTCTGCCCCCACAGCACACAGGGAGCACGTGCGATCCAGCCCTAGGGAGCCACCAGTGGCCACTGCCAGCCCAAGCAGCAAGTAACCCCCTGGCGAATAGGGAGAGGGAGCTACGGAACCAGGGCCGCCAAGAACAGGTAGGGGCTGCTCGGATACAACAGCGATGATGTAGAAATAGTCACGGACATGAGAATTTAGAAACCAAAAAATAAACAGAGGACGGATAAAAGTGAAAGATGAGAAGGAAAACAGAGAGAGAGAGAGGAAAAGTGAATGGGGGCAGGACAAGAGAGCGGGCACCAAGCACACGCGCCAGGAGAGACAGCAGTGCCCAACTGCCCACAAGGGGACTCCACCAGACAAAGGCTGGGAACTCGTTAGCCCCTTCTCCCAGGTGTTTACAGGCCAAAGTGATCAGGCAGCGACGCTGACCCAGGGCAGCTCCCCAACGCCACGCTTTCCCCACTGCCGGTACCCCTTTGTTTACTGTCCTCAGCCAGTTCGGATCCCCACGAGAGTTAACCATACCCACCCCACGGGGAATTCATACGGAGGACTGCACCAGACACTACTGCATTCTTGGCTCCTTCCTGCCGCATTACCTGGACGGCCTGTCGTCAGTGGGGTTATACTCCCCATCATCCAGGGTCCCATCTTCATACAAGGTGCTGGCGATAACCAGGCGGAATTTGTCCCCTGAAACACACAGTAGAGAGCAGGAGGTAAAAGGCGAGCCTCCAAGGAGGCCAGTTGCTCACAGCCACACCTGTCACAGGCCACATGATCCCATGCACACAAGGGCAGGGGAAAGGGAGCAACCAGGAGTCCTAGCTGTATGTTAATCCAAGGGTGCTTGATGGCAAAGATGAGCGAGCCACATGTGAACTGGCTCCTAGCCCGATCCGGCCAGTCACCAGGGCACACAATATTCAGGGCGCCCAGTTCCAGAGACGGGTGATCAGGGACACGCAGCAGCACATCCAGGTGCCAGGTGATGCGCTCTGAGTAGCACGGACCCCAGACGTCAGGGAGCTGTCAGGCAGGTGAAGAGCAGCTCTCCTCACATCACAGCTGTTTGTGGCCACTGGACCTAATTAATTAAATGCACTGAATGCAGCGAAGGCCTCTTTCCTTCAGAACGGCAGCATGCACACGAGGGCTTCCTGCACTTGAAATCATACACTTCAGATGCGCACCTTTCCTTAATTTGAATTTGTATCCTGGCTAGACAAGCCCTCAGTGTTATGGGCACCTCTGCCAGCAACTGGCTCTCGCTCAGCAGGTGCTGCCCATCACAGGGATTATCAGCTGCCAGCCTGCGAGCACCGTACATACGTACCCAGGTCCACGGGGTAGATCTGTATATTCACATCCAGGATTAGGTCCATCTTGAAAGACTCACTTTCACAATGCAGGCGGGAAACTGGAAGAGAAGGAGCCGAGCCAGTGACACATGAGATATGGGGCCTTTCACCTCTAGGGCCTTGGTCCAGATACAGCCCCAGATTCTGGGGGAAGGGGATTATGGGGCCTGTCCCCTCAACTGCCTCAATCCCAACTGAGCCTCAGATCTGGGGTCGGGGGGTTATGGAACCTGTCCCCGTGGGGACCCGGGGGGAGGAATTAAGGGGGGGAGGGATTAAGGGGCCTGCACCCCTTAGGGTCTGGGTCCCAATCCAGCCCCAGATCTGGGGGGGGGGGGTTATGGGGCTGTCCCCCCTAGGGCCTGGGTCCCGATCCAGCCCCAGATCCGGGGGAGTAATGGGGCTGCTCCCCCTAGGGCCTGGGTCCCGTTCCAGCCCCAGATCCGGGGGGGGGGGGTAGGGGGGCGCCCCCCCCCAGGGCTTGGGGCCCGACCCCGGCCCAGGCCCGGGGGGGGGGGCAGATGGGGGTGGTCCCTCTCGCGCCCTGGCGGGAGGGGCCCCTGGGAAGGGAGGCCCCGGCCCGGCTCACCCCGGTCGAATTTCTTGCCCTCGGGGTCGATGTCCTTCACGTCGAAGATGTCCTCGAAGAGGATCCCGGCCATGGCGAGCGGGAGGCGGCAAGCGCGCGGCCGGCGCAGGGGCTCGGAGCCTCACTTCCGGCCAACCTGCGCCCGCTCGCGCCTATGCGGAGCCGCCATGTCAGTGCGGGGCGGAAGCACTTCCCCCGGCAGTGTGCTGCGCGTGCGTCCCGGGTTCCCCGTGGCTTGCCTCGGGGGCGGAGCCAGGGCTCGTCCACCTCCCCTTCCGCCCCTCTGCCTGTGGCGCCCCGGACGCCTGGGTTCTGTCCCTGTCTGCTCCACCTGCGGGCAGCGCCAGTCGGGGCGTTAGGTGCCCCGCCCCAGAGACCAGCTTCCCCCCACAAACCCCTCCCACCCCCCTCCTTTTCCCCTGAGGCGCGAGACCCAGACAGACCCCGGGGCACCGCGACCCTACACAAACACCCAGGGCAGCAGCAGCGACCCCCGCTCCGCACAAACCCCGGGGGGGGGGGGACCACTCCGGGTTGGGGGGGGGGGGGCCCCCGCCCAACCCCAGGGGGGGGGGCGCAGCGGGACTGTTGTGATAACTCAGGCGGGGGAGGGGTCTCCTGATCTCTCAGGCCCAGGGGTGTGGCGGGGGCCGCCCTTTAAACTCCCGGCTGCAGGCGGCTCTTGTTTCAAACCGCCCTGCGGTTCCCACCCAGGTGGGTGGTTCGCTGAGCTCTCGCTCCCCGCCCAGGAGGGCAAGCCAAGGCCCCCTGGCCGATTCCTGCCTGACCCCCCCATCCCCACCCCCCGTGCTGGCTGGGGAAGGGGCTTGGGGGCCCGACTTGCCGCGGAGCAGATGCTGCCCAAGTGCCCGGGCTTGGTCATTAACCGATTGCAATTAACTCTTTAATCAGATTTCTCTGCCCCTCCTGTCCCTGAGACTCCGGATCCCCCTCCCTCCAGTCCCTCCCCTGCACTAGGGCCAACAACAGCCCCCCTGCGCGGCGAGCCGGAGCCCCCAGCCACGGGGATCGCAGGAGGCGGTGCTGAGCCGCCCGCATTCCCGGGGTGGGGGGACACACAGCTGCTGCTTCTCCTTCAGAGGCGCCTGTGGCCGGGAGGGGCGGCGCCTGCCCACAAGCCCTGCACACCTGGTAGCCGAGGCGCGCTGGGAGAGGAGGAGCCGGTTGCTCTCAGCTGCGGGCTCGCCTGGTGGAGGCCGCGTGGGGGGCTGGGGCGAGCCGGGGCCTCTAGCGATGTGCACCTAGGAAGGGCTGGCGAGAGGCCAGGGCTGCCCGGCTAGGCACCGAGGCTGGGCGTAGCAGCAGCAGCGATGGCCCCTGGCAGCAGAGACGTCGCAGCCAGGCTCTGAGTCCTGCAGGGAACCGGCACCTCCGCAGCCACGGGGAGGAAAGCAGCAGGGTCTATGGAGTATCAGAGGAAGAAGAAACTGACCAACTTCACCATTGGGCTCCTCTTCCTCTCGGGAGGGATTGAGTACGGTGAGCTCTGGGGGTAGGGGGCGATGGACAGGGGGTGATGCCCTGCCAGCCAGGGCCGGGCACTGAGTGGTAGAGCCGTAACCCGGAGGGTGACTCCTCCAGACACCGCCACTCCCTTTGGGGCCCCCCCATGGGCCCTGCAGAGCTGCTGCGCCAATAGGGGGCACCCACGCGCCTAGTCCCGCTTCGTCCATGAATGACAGACCCGCTGGTTTAGGTCCCATAGGTGGAAACTCTGCCCCTGAGGGTGGGTTTGCGAGTCTGCTCATCTCTGGTCCCATCACTGTAGTGACTGAGCCTTATGGATGTTAATGGACCTGGTGGACAGGGTGAGTCTCTGTCTTGACATGTCACAGATGGGGAAACTGAGGCACTGGGGGGAAATGACTTGCCTGAAGTCAGGCAGCAAGTTGGTGGCAGAGCTGGGCTCTGATTCTGGCCTGCATTCTGGACCCTTTGTGCTGCAATGGAGTCCCCCCAGTCAGGTATCCCCCTGGCCCAGCGGGGTTGGGTACAGCTGCCCCACTCTGCACTCTAGCTATTATAGATGGTCACAGGTTGGGTTAATAGATGTGAAGGCCGGAAGGGGCCATAGTGCAGGCCATCGGATTTCACCCAGTTAGAGCAGGCCCCGAGCCGAGCCTGGAACTGGGCAGGTGGAAAGGTGGCTCAGAATCAGGGCCCAGCAATAGTCAGGCCAGGATAGCATGAGAGGAAGGAAGAGACCTTCTTGAATCTCTGAACAGGGGAGTGGAGGGGTTGGGTGGGGTGGGGGGAGAGGTGAAGGCTACAGGGATTGTCATCATTCTACTAGAGAACAGAGCAGATGGCCTTTGGAATCATGTTGGTCCCCCCTCCACCCTACCTCAGGAGCCCCCCTTGTGCATTTGCCGTGTGACCCTGCAGTGGGGCTGGTCCTGTCTCTTGCCAGCACACCTGAACTGCCTGTGCCCTGCCTCTGGCATGCGACCCTGTGCTGCCTTGTTTTTCTGGCTGGGTCAAGCAATCCCATGTGAGAGCAGCAGCCTGAGGCAGCGAGCCCTTGTCTGAAACCCCAGGACTGGAGACCGGGGGGGAGGGATAGCTCAGTGGTTTGAGCATTGGCCTGCTAAACCCAGGGTTGTGAGTTCAATCCTTGAGGGGGCCACTTAGGGATCTGGGGTAAAATCAGTACTTGGGTCCTGCTAGTGAAGGCAGGGGGCTGGACTCGATGACCTTTCAAGGTCCCTTCCAGTTCTAGGAGATAGGATATCTCCATTAATTAATATCAATATTTTAATGGCGATGCCTTGGGCCAGGTGCTTGTGCCCCTCCTCCCCTCACAAGCTGGTGGGGGTAGCAAAGGGATTGGTACATTGCAGTAGCAGTTTAGAAGGAGACATGGGCATCTTAGCTCAGTTGTGGGGCGTCTCCTGCAACTCTACTGGCCGTTATTGGGACTGGAGCGATGGTGGATGAGAGCCATGGAGGGGTTTGGGGAGCCCGGCAGGCCCTGCAGTGGGGCTGGCTGGGTCTGTGGGTTTGTTTCTATATGGATTTTTAGATACATTGTTCTTTTCTCACTGCGACATTTACCCCTCGGTGGGACGTTCCCCAGTGCTCCCCGAGGTGCTGGGAATTGCTAGGCCTGGAGTGGGTCTCGCAGGCCCCCCAGCTCCTCCACACAGCCTGGTGGTGTGGGGGGACCGGAGGGCCCCTGCTGAAGCAGAGCTGGTCTCCCAGTTTCCTCTGTTAATATTTTACAAGCTGGAATCTGAGTCTGTAACTCATCCTCCAGGGTCAGCTGAAGGGTGGGACTGGAGGAGGCACTGCCGCTGGGTGCCAGCCTTCGGCACCCCCAGCTGACTTACATCTGCCAACAGTCTGTCAAGTGTGCTGAGAATTCCCAGCCCGCCAGGGAGCAGGGCAGGGGCACTGGTTATAGGTGAGCTCGCAGCTACTCCCTTCTCCCCCTTCTTTCAGTAGAGGGGGCTGTGTTGGCTGCAGACGGTCTCCAGGACTGATTGGCGTTTTCTGACTCCTTGGGTCCATCAGCTCCAATTTCCCTCCCCTCTCTTGGTACCGTTGTTTGGTTTTCCCTTACCCGAGAGCCCCTAAGGGGTCAGTGATTTTATTGCAGGAAGGGACCAAGGATGGATCCAGACCGTGTGGACCTGGGTTTCGATACTCTACCCTTTCCCAGCTGCTATTTCGCTACCCAGGATAAGATTGCAAGCGCTATTGCTCCTCCTGCTTCAGGGGCTAAACTGATCCCCATGCCGGAGCAGAAGCATCTCCCACTCCTTCCATGAGCTGATACGACATAATCCAAGCCCTGGGGTGGCCACCGTTGCAGGGAGGCTGCCAGCCTGGATGAGCCATTGGCCTGTTGTGATGAAGAAGGCTGCTGGACTAGAGGGGCCGGGGCTCTGCTCTGGTGGCTGATGGATTATATTAATTACCTGTCGAGCAGGTTTCCTGGATATCCTCATGCTCGAAGCTGGGCTGCACAATTCAAGGGCCTGAGTCGCTGGCATCCCGAGAAGTGTCCGTAATGAAGTGTTTGTGTTGAAACAGTGAAGGTTTGATTGAGGAACATTCGCCACTGTGCATATCCCAGGCTCTTGGGCACGCAGCATGTGGCCTGTCCCATGAGGGGTCTCCACTGAGACTGGCATTCCCTGACGCAGCACAGGGAGCTTCCCCCTCAGCTGAGCAGGGTGAGCAATCACCAGGCCTTCCCGTGGTCGGGTGTTGAGATCTGCAGCCGGGATCAAGGAGACGGCCCCTGCTCTGAAGAGCTCACCGTCTGTGTAGCCAGGACAGACAGAGGGGGGCGGGGAAAAGGAGCATTTGCCCAAGGTCAGTGGCAGAGCCAAGGCTAGAACCTGGGTCTCCGGCCTCCCTATGTGCCCTGGGCCGCGGTGCTTCTCTTCAGAGTATGGCTGCAGGTGCCCCAGGTCGTTCTGATCCCAGCTGAGCTCTGGATCCACAAACGGTGCCTGGACACACAGCGTTCTGCAGTCCGGGTGGGACATCATGAAAGGGACGAGCTGAAACTGTCCTGCCTGAAGGGTCCTTCCTGTCTGTCCCCCCTCCTGTTCGAATCCACAGCCCCTCCCCCCGCACTTGTTTTTGGTAAGTATTTAGTCTCCTCTTTTGTCAGCTTCCAGCAGAAACTGGGGCTCTTGTTCCCCCCCCCTTCCTGATTTGTGGCTCGCTAGAGGCATGTCATGCCCTCAGTCTCTCCTTGCCATCCCATCTCTCCAGGCGGCTCAGACAGCAATCCAGAGCCACCTTAACACCCTTATCTGCCTGGCTCTCTGTCGCCCGTCCACAGAGGGGCACGAGACCTCGCCCTGGTGATACAAGCCTTATCGCTGTGCACAGAACTGGCATTCCAGGTGAACACTGCAGACCGGGGGAGGGAAGAGGGGCCTGTCCCCACGGCAGCTGCTTCGTCTCCAGCCCCCTTCTCGGTGACTTTCCATCCATGCCCCAGCATGGGAATTCTGACACGTATTGCTGAGTACATCTCCTCTGCCTTTGAGAGACCCAGTCTCCTAGCACCTGCAGATTCATCCAGATCCCTGGCCTCTTCCCTTATCCCACAAATAACCAGGCATGGGTTGCCCAGCTGGAGCCCACCTCCCCGGGCAAGGCGCTGCCCTGCTGTTGGGATGGCCGTTGTAGAGCACAGCGTATGGGAAG